TGGCGGCGCGGTCCCGGTGCAGGGCGGGAGGCGGCAGCGGCGAGGCCATGGCTTGGTCCCGGTACCAGCTGGGCCTGGCCGCCCTCATGCTGCTCACCGGCTCCATCAACACCCTGGCGGCCAAGTGAGTCCTCCCGGCGGCTGGGGGAAACCCGCACCGTGGGGCTGGGGTCCTGCAGCGGCCTCGGCCCCCACCTTGGGCCCTGGGCTGGGCCCACCGCTCTGCTCGGGGTCCTGCCGGGCCTCAGGGCACCCCCAGGCCCTGCGCTCCCCCGCGGATTGGAGCCCGGTCTGCAGGCCTCCGGTCCCCTCCTTCCATCGCGGGGTTTCTCCCCCCCATGCTCCGGGGGTGTCACCTGTGCTCGGGCCTCCTCGTGTGACCCTGCAGACAGGGTTCCCCGGGCCACCTCTCTGCCTTATCTCAGCCCCACGCAGGGACTGGGGAGGCCCCCGGGGCTAACCAGGCCGAGCTCCCGTCTAGGCTGTGTTGGCAGAGCCTCAGGACCTTAGCGGTGCCCCCCACACCCCGGCTGGGCAGCCCTAGCATGGGGGGCAGACAGCGCTGTGGGGTGCTCCATAGGGACTGAGGCTACCGTTGGTGGAGGGCCCAGCTCCTGGTGATGGGGAAGGAACGGGGGGGGCTGCATGGCCGCGGGAGCTGGGGGTCTTAAGCCCTTTCGCGGGTGATGCTGAGGGTGCAGGTCTCCTGCTGTGGGTGCTGTGCCCAGCCCCAGGGTGCTGGGGAGGAGCTGTAGGAGTGACCCCGCAACCAGGCTCCCTGCACTCCAGCTCGTCCCTGTAGCCAGTCAGGGGCTGGATTGAGCCCTTTCCCACAGAGAACACCCTGGGGTGCCCCCAGCGTTTAGGGTGAGGATGAGGACAATGTTCCCAAGAGCTGCCCAGGCCAGGCAGACCTGCCCAGCTGGCTTATCCCGCTGTTGCTGGGCAGACATACGGGTGTCAGCGGATGGCCAGGCTCCAGCTGCTCCTGGTGTTACAGCAGAGCCAGGTCCCCGAGTGGGGAAACTGAGGCACGGAGTCTCCATGTGGCAGAGCAGAGGTGGGAGGTGGCACCGAGCGCTCACCCTGCTCGTGTGTGGCCGGACGAGGCCTCTTGCGAAACACGGACCCGAGCTGTCCCATGGCGCAGGGGCTGCGGCTGGGGCTGACTCACGCTGAAATCTCGCTGGCCTGGCCGAGAAGCCCCTTGCAGAGCAGTGGAGGATGGGCTGGGGATTGCCCTGGCCTCCGCTCGCACCCTGTTTCCCCAAGCTCAGCAGCTCTGCGGCAGCAGAAAGCAGCTGGAGGGTTGCTGGGTGCCTGCGTCGCTGTGTCAGGGTGCATGGGCACGGCGGGGATGTCCTGAGGTCCTCTCCTGATGCAGATGGATCAAACCTCAAGAGGGTTGATCCGTGCTGAAACAGGCCAGGGGGACCTGTGCCTCAGCCTATGTTTATCCAGCATTGCTCTCTGTGCTGCACACAGTACCAAAAAGAGGGGCTTTGTGCCCCAAAATGATGGCTGGGGTTGTGAGTGGTGGGAGCTGCTGCACCCCAGCCTGTGACCCAGCATAATTTCTGGGTCCTGTGTCGCAGCCCCCAAGTTTTCAAGGCTGGTGATGTGGAGAGGGGGTCAGGGTGACACCCTTCCCCTCACCATGCTGTCCTGGTCTCCCCAGCAGGAAATGGTGCTGCCTGGACGTGTCCAGCAGCATGAGGACACCGGATTGTGGGACTGTGCAACATGGTGGTATCCATTTCCCTGCCTGTCACTCAGGGCTGGGAGCTGGGCCAGGAGCTGCCGGCAGGTCGAGGCAGCCACAGCCATGTCTCCTTCCCCATGGACATCCTGTCCTTAGCACTGTCACTTCAGGGGGCTGGTGGCCCATAGGAAAGCCCCAGGCTGGATCTTGGGGCGTGCTTCATCTCCCCGCGGCCCCCTGCGCTAATCACCACCCTCTCCTCTGCCTCCTAGGTGGGCTGATAACTTCAGCGCGGCCGGCTGCAGTGGGAAGGAGGAGCACAGCTTCCAGCACCCCTTCCTGCAGGTGAGCCCCCTGCCCGGGGCAGGAAGGGCCTCACCAGCAGGACCAGCCCCCCTCACCCACTCTCTCACAGGCCGTGGGCATGTTCCTGGGTGAATTTTCCTGCCTGGGGGTGTTTTACCTGCTGGTCTGGAGGGATCGGCGAAGGCCAGAGCCCAGCATGGCCCCGTCGCAGCCCTTCAGTCCCCTGCTCTTCCTGCCTCCCGCTCTCTGCGACATGACTGGGACCAGCATCATGTACGTGGGTAAGTGCTGGACCATGGGTCAGTGCTTTGCCCTGCAGGGATGCGGCCATCCCCGGGGCCAGATTTGGGTTTTGGACTGCGTGGTGCATTTGGGTTTGACCCTGAAGTGGGTTAGAGGGGTGCGAGCAAACACTTCCCACCCATGCCATGAGTTGTGGCAGGGCTCAGTAAGCCAGGTTCCTCACTGGGAGACATGGTGTTGCTGTGGAATGGGGATGTGGGGCTGAGTCTTGGCATGAGCCTCTCTGTTGCCAGATCTGAGTAGGAGTGGGGGGAGAGAGCATCACTGCCCCTTCCTCTGCTTAATCGTACTTCATCGTCGACTGCAGTGATAGGACAAGGAATAACGGGTTCAGACTTAAACAGGGGAGATTTAGGTTAGATATATGGAAGAAGCTCTTTACTGTGAGGCCCTGGCACAGGTGTCCCAGCGAAGCTGTGGCTGCCCCATCCCTGGCAGTGTTCAAGGCCAGGTTGGATGGAGCTTCGAGAACCTGGTCTAGTGGAAGGTGTCCCTGCCCTTGGCAGGGGTTGGAACTGGATGAGCTTCAGGTCCTTTCCAACCCAAACCATTCTGTGATTCCATGATCTGCTCGTAATTACCGTGGCACACTGTTAAGTGGTGGTGGTGGTGTGACATTAGATGGCTCCGCACACAACACATGGATCTGTCTCTCCCCACACAGCCTTGAACATGACCAGCGCCTCCAGCTTCCAGATGCTGAGAGGATCTGTCATCATCTTCACCGGGCTCCTCTCCGTGGCCTTCCTGGGCCGCAAGCTGGAGCTGAGCCAGTGGCTGGGCATCCTGGTCACCATCGTGGGGCTGGTGGTGGTGGGGTTGGCCGACCTGCACAGCTCCCATGGCCAGAAACACAACCTCAGCCAGGTGATAACTGGTAGGTGGTGGCCCGCAGGGAAGGTGGGGGAAGAGCTCCTGCAGGGTGCATGCCAGGCTCTCCAGGCATGGCTCAGCTGTGTTGCACATCCAGTGGGCAGGGAGATGAGGGCTCAGCCTCCCCTTCCTTCTTTTTCTTCTCCCCCCCACCTTCCTTCTTCTCTCCCCCCCTTCCTTCTTCTCTTCCTCCCTTTCCTTCTTCTCTCCCCCCCTCCTTCTCCCCTCCTCCTTCCTTCTTCTCCCCCCCTTCTTCTCCTCCCCCTTCCTTCCTCTCCCCCCCCTTCCTTTATCTTCTTTCCCCATTCTCCCACCTTCCTTCCTTCTTTTTTCCCTCTTCCTTCTCCCCTTGCAGGCGACCTCCTTATCGTCATGGCACAGGTGATTGTTGCCATCCAGATGGTGCTTGAGGAGAAGTTTGTCTACAAGCACGACGTGCACCCGCTGCGGGCCGTTGGCACCGAAGGTCTGTTGTGACATCAACCAAAGGGTTGAGTGCTTGAGGGCTTCTGGATTCCCAAACCCAGCTTGGGGAGGGCCACATTGTGCAGGGTGGGAGGAGCAGGCTGCAAAGAGGGGGCTGTTGTAGAGGTTTGGGTCTTGTGGGGCAGGGAGGGACAGGCTTGGAGCAGCACCCATCTGACACCCTGCAGGTTTCTTCGGCTTCATCATCCTGGCCCTGCTGCTGGTGCCCATGTACTACATCCCAGCGGGCAGCTTCAGCGGGAACCCTCGGCGGACACTGGAGGATGCCCTTGATGCCTTCTGCCAAGTTGGCCACCAGCCCCTTATTGCCCTGGCCCTGCTGGGTAACATCAGCAGTATCGCCTTCTTCAACTTCGCTGGCATCAGCGTCACCAAGGAGATCAGTGCCACCACCCGTATGGTGCTGGACAGCCTCCGCACCCTAGTCATCTGGGCCGTCAGCCTGGCCGTGGGCTGGGAGACCTTCCATGGCCTGGAGATCTTGGGGTTTGGGGTGCTACTGGTTGGGGCTGCTCTTTACAACGGCCTGCACCGGCCCCTGCTCACCTGCCTGCCCCAGCACACAGATGAGGCTAGCTCGGCAGCTGAACGGGAGGGTTTGCTGCGGGGGGAGAGCACAGCCATCAACAGCGAGAGCTGAGCACACGCTGCCTGTGTCCAGCTTGGTCCTGGGGTTCATTGTCCTGGATGGTCTCAGGAGTGGATTGGTGTAGTGGTGGTGATGCCAGCCACGGCCCTGCTGCTGTTTGCAGGAGAAACCTCTGCCTTGCCGGTGGTTGGTGAGGCTGTGCCTGCCCCTCATAGTGGGAAGAAGACCCTGGGCCCCTGTGTAGGGCACGTTGGAGCCTCTGCCCCTGATCTCAAGAGGCTTGGGAGGTTGGGGAGAAGGGGCTGGCCCCACTGCTTCCCCAGCCTGCCTCTCCCCCTAATAAAGTGCATCACCTGTGGCTTGCTCTTGGGTGTCAGTGCTGGCCGTGGGAAGGGTCCGGGAGCCCCCAGGCTGGTGTACGGGGTTCCCACTAAACCCAGGACAAGGGTAGGGGTCTGAACCCTCTACCACTGACCGTGCTGGATATGAGCTCAGTCAGCTCCCAGCAGAGGGAAAGGATCTGGCACCCTAAGCCCTTTCACATGGCATGTGGGAAGAGGAGGGGGTGTTCCTGCCCTATTGATTAGATATGAAGCTCTTCCTGTGAGGGTGCTGAGGCCCTGGCACAGGTTGCCCAGAGAAGCTGTAGCTCCCCCATCCCTGGCAGTGGTTCACCCCCATTTCACAGCAGCTGATGATCAGTCCTGGGCCCACAGAGCCACGTTTTGGAAGGTTTATTGTTTCTGGAAAGTGTATTTGCTTGGCAAAGTGCGTTCCAAAGATGCAGCACAGGCAGGGTGTCAACTCTACCTTTATTTTCTCTTTGGGCTCTGCAGAAGGGCCCGCAGCAGCAGGGGGAGGGCAGTGGTGGTGGCATTTGGCCCCCTGGCATAGGGACAAGGGGGCTTGGTGAGGCACCGGAGCTTGGCAGCAGTGATGAGCATCACCCAGCTACTCTCTGCCAGAGGAAGGATTGGAGGGGGTGAGCCATGGCATGTCCCCCCCCCCTGAGCCCTGCCATGGGATGTGGGGAGCTGGACTCACATGGCATTTTGCTTGTAGTGCTGAAGCGCCTGCTCAGCCACCGTCTCCATGAAGCGAGGGTCGTCCCAGGAGATGTCCCCAGGCACAGTGAGGGACAGCGGCTCCGAATCGAAGAGCTGCACCGTCACCTGCGTGTCAGGGGGAGCTGAGGGGTCCTCGAGGTTGGGAGCCTTGGAGAGGACCTGAAAGGGGAAGGCATGGGGGCACATAATGCAGGAAGAGCTGGGCTAGCCCCTGTGCCGGCCCCTCGCCCTGGCACCCAGCCCTGCAGCCCGCTATTGTGCCGAGAGGCACCCGCTTGGACACACAATCGCCTCATTCTCCCCCTGACCCACTTTCCATGGCTGCTGGCCCTGCTGATGGGGCGACCACAGCTCAAGAGGGGAGGCTCAAGCCCTTCAGCCGGCTCACCGTGGTGACCTGGAGGAAGCCGTCGCTGCCCTGGGTGAGGTTGGCGAGGCGCGAGACCCAGCCGAACTGGCGGTTGAGCTGGTCCAGGAGGCTGGTGGTGTTGAGCATCTCGGCTTGGAAGGCACGCATCAGCTCATCGTAGCGGCGGGTGAAGCGCTCGGCCAGGCGCAGCGCGTCCTCCAGCTGCTCCCGCAGCTGGCTCTGCGCAGGGTCCGTCTGCCAGCAGTCTGGGCATGGATTTAGGGGGGGCATCAGGGCTCACCCCCAGCCATCCTCACCCCACCACAGCCATCCTATTGCCCCCGATCCCATGGGGACCAGCTCACCCACGGAGAGGATCTCCCGGCACTTCTCGCACTCATCCCGCATCCGCAGGCAGCCGGCCGAGTTCCGACGGATCTCCCGGCACACCATGCGATCATCGCTGGAGTTACGGGACTCTGCGGGGAAGCACAGCCCAGAATCAGCACCCCAAAACACCACGGTTGGAGGGGGGGGGGGGGCAAGCTGCAGGGCCAGCCCTGACCCAACACCCTAGGGTGCTGCGTGGACACATAGAGGTGCTTTCTCCATGGAATATTGCCCCCTCCCGGTCTGTTTTCCCGAAACAAAGCACTCCACGCCAGACTGTTTCGCAATGTCCCTTTCCGCAGCCACCCAGCCGGGGGGCCGCAGTGGCAGACGGTGACGGCACTGCTGCAACGGTGCTGCCTGCCCAAAACAAACACCTTCCCAGGATGGCGGCGGCTCCGGCAGCCAAGGTTAGGCTGGGAACCCCCCCCCAAATCCCAGCACAGCTCTGCAAACAGCAGAGCTTGTGATTCCCTGCACGCCCATGGGGATTCTCTAAGGTGTAGTACTAGGGTTGAGCTCATCCTCTGAAGTTAGTCACCCCTTATGAGAAGGAGGAGGAGGAGGTTTGCCGGGAAGCCTGGCTGTAAACGTACTGCTTTCAGCCAAACTGGGGAGCCCACAGCACCCAGCATGGAGCACCCTACCTGGGGCAAAGCCACCCAGCGAGTGCTCCCAGCCGCCCTGTGCTTCCTCCAGCATCCGCTGCGTCATCTCGAAGAGCGGCTGGAAGAGGCGGTGGAAGCCGTGGTGGGGATGCTGGAAGAAGGGATGCAGCTCCCGGGAAAGCCTCTCGCTGCGCAGGGGGAAGCGGACGTGCTGGACCGGGGGGCGGAAAGCCTCACGGAAGCCACCAAAGGGTGCTCGGAAGAAGGGATACATGCGGCCGTAGACCTGGGTGCTGTCCTGGAAGATGTCATCCACGCCATCCTCCAGCAACCCAAACCGTTCTTCCAAGTCCTCAAACTGCCGCTCCTGCTGCTGGTCCCGCTCCAGCAGCGAGTCGATGCGCTCGCCGTTCACCCAGATGGAGAAGGGTGAGGAATGGTTGAGGAATTCCTCCAGCTGCCAGGTAGGGAAGCAGGATCAGGTCAAAACAAGATCAGGCCAAAATGATTCAAGGCCAGGTTGGATGGGGCTTGGAGCAACCTGGTCTAGTGGAAGGTGTCCCTGCCCATGGGAGGGGGTTGGAACTGGACGAGCTTTGAGGTCACTTCCAACCCAAACCATTCTGTGAGTCTATGGAATCCCCCTCCCCAGCCTCACTGGGCACTGCGGTACCACTCACCTGCCGCCCCACCAGCCCCGATCCACTGTGGCACGTGCGGGAGTAGAAGCGCATGCAGGTGTGCTTGAGGCAGGGCTTGCACTCTTCCCACAGCGCCAGCATCGTCTCGTTGCACACCTCCTGCTTCGCCGCCAGCTGCTGCTCCTTCTCCCTGGCCAGCTGCACCGCCTCCTGCAAGGCAGCCACATCCACCCCAGGGCATCCCTCCACTCCTGGGACCCACAGATTCCCTGGCACCGCACTCCCCCAACCCTTCAGGTGCACCCAGACCAGCTGGGGGGAGCTCGGGTACCAGGTCGGAACAGCCGCCCTCCTCATCCTCACTCACCTCCTTCTTCCTCTTGGTCTCCTCCAAGGTGTGCAGGATGGCTTGGTGGTCCTTACTTGTCTTGTCCATGAGAGTCTTCATCTGCTTCACCCCATTGATGGCGTTTTCCACCTCTGTGTCAATGTATTTGCTGCCAGCTGCTGACATCTCTGTGGTTGGGGGGGTGAGGAAGAGCATCCTTCAGCAGGCAGTGGAAGCACCCGCCAGTGCATGCAAATACTTGTGGGTGCAGCATCTTGGTTGCTTGCCAACAGCTTGATTCAAGCTCACAGAACCCAAGAGAAGTGGGGAGCACACGCTCTAAAAGCCCCAAAACCTCACCCCGGCTGGGACTGCATCACCCCACCCACCACCCACAATATTTGGGATGTGTGCTGTAAGGTTCCAGCTGCCCCCCAGGAGCAGCCCAGTGCTGGGGCCCCATCTGTGCCCACGTCAGCCCTCACCCACCCAGACCACCCAACCAGGGGAGCACAAGGGCAGGATCTGCATCCCACACACACCAAAAACATCTGGCCCCAGCCCCTTGGGGATGATGCTTTGTGCCCCCTCCACCCAACCCCCCTGAAACGATGCTGCGCCCCTCCATCCACCCCTCCTGGATAACGCTGTACCCCCCCTGCCCCCCCCAGCACAGCACTCCCCCCACTATCCCATTTGCTCCCCAAGCCTGCAGGGAGCCCCCTCCCACCCCAACCCCTACTCACGCTTGAGCTCGCTGGGGGGGACAAGCGCCTGCCCCCATCCCCAGGGGAGCAGGAGGCTGAGCAGTGGGAGCAGCAGCAGCGCCATGGCCCGTCCTGGAGGCAGCTCCCTGTGCAGGCAGAGCGGGGGCTTAGAGCAGGAGCCAGGATCCGGCCCCCTCAGACACGGGACTCTGACTCAGCAGCGGGCACCAGCACCCCCCCCCCCCCGGCCATGGCTCTGGTCTGGGGGGATGGTGATGGTTGGGCTCACACCTCCTTAGCTGGGGGAGCCGGGGGCCTGTAGCCTGTCCCTAGGAGGGGGGCACTGGGTAGTGGGATCCCACATGAAGCCCTCCTGGGGGAGGCTGCGATGCAAAGCCATGTGTGTGTGTGTGTGTGTGTGTGTGTTCCCCCCGCCCGCCTGCCTGCCTGCGGGACAAACAAGCCCAGGCCTGGGGCCAGGCAGGGCAGGCAGCCAAGGCAGTGACCGGGCATGGATCTCCTCCTCCTCCCCAGGAGCTGTGCTGCCTTTCTTCTCCTCCGGCCCCCTTGGGGATGGAGAGGGGCTGCAAAGCCAAGCCAGGGCCAGGCCCCTGCCAATGCAGGCAGGGATGGGCACTGCTGGCAGTATCCCCCTGGAAGGGTGCCATGGCCAAGGCACCCAGCACTGGCACCTCTGGGGTTGTGCAATGAGGAACTGCAGCCCCCTGGGGTTGTGCAGTGGCCCCAGGCCCCTCCTCCTTCCCCCAAACCTGTGCAATGGCCCAGCCGCAGGGTGGCTCTGGCCCCCCAACAACACTTGGCCCCATGCCACTGCAGCACATCTATTGCAGTACCCGCTGCACTGCTACCCCCAAAGTGCTGTGCCCCAAATACACCCCCCCCCCAAGCCTGACCCAGCTCCATCCTGCCTGGCCCAGGGCATTGTGGGAAACTCCTGCCTGCAGAGCTGAGTATCACCCATTGCATTACCTCCCCCAGCATGACCTGGGGGTGCAGGGGGCACCCCTGGGTGCACAGCACCCACCTCTGCCTTGCAGTAGCACCCCAGGAGGAAGGGAAGGGAAGGGAAGGGAAGGGAAGGGAAGGGAAGGGAAGGGAAGGGAAGGGAAGGGAAGGGAAGGGAAGGGAAGGGAAGGGAAGGGAAGGGCGAATTGCCATACCTGCACCCCGATCAGCTGCACCGCCGCCGGTCCCCGCCCGCTCCTATTTATCCGGCCGCCGAGCCGCGGGTCCGCCCCGCTTCGGCCCCGGAGCTTTCTGGAACCGGCGGGACCCCCCCAAACCCGCTCCTTTCCCGCAGTCCCGTCGCCCCCCAGCTGGCCGGTGCGCGGCGCCAGGACGCCGCGGGGACTGGCGCGGTGCCGCTCGGCAGCGCATCGCATCGCACCCCATCCCATCGCACCCCATCCCATCGCATCCCATCGCACCCCATCCCATCCCATCGCACCCCATCCCATCCAATCGCACATCCCGCGCAGAACGGGGCCCCCTCCCCGGGGCTCCCAAATCCCGGATGCTGCGGTCCCGGGGGGGCACGTGTGTGATGTAAAACCTCGCCGGCCGTTGCGCACCCAACACCCCCCTCCCCAGGGGATCTTTATTCCCCCCCCCCCTTTACTTCCACTTTCTACCCGCGGCCTCGCACCCAGCGGGGGCTGAGTGGGGACCCCCCCCCCCCATCCCCTCATCTCCCCCACCCCGAGCTGCAACATCCCCCATGGCTGCGGGGTCACCGAGGCCCCGGAACCGCGGTTGGCGCCCAGCAAAGGGGCGGGGCGGGGCGGCCCTCCCCGAATCCCACCCTTGTGAGGAGCGGGGGCAGCCCCGGGGCAGCGGGACCGGAGCGCGGCGCGGCCGGGAGACGGGAGCGGGACGCGGGTGCGAGCGGGTGCGAGGTGCGGGTGAGAGCGGGTGCGGGCTCTGGAGCTGGGTACGGGCCGTGTGTGCATGGGGGTGCTGTGGAGGGGACGTGTCGGTACATGTTCCCCAGGGCCGGGTGTGGGACACGCATGGGTGTGCAGGCTCTCTCGGGACCAGGGGTGAGACACACGTGTGCGTGGGGTGCAAGCTGTCCTGGTACCGTGTATGAGATGTGTGTGCTTGGGGTGCAAGCTGCCCTGGTACCGTGTATGAGATGTGTGTGCTTGGGGTGCAAGCTGGCCTGGTACCGTGTATGAGATGTGTGTGCTTGGGGTGCAAGCTGTCCTGGTACCGTGTATGAGATGTGTGTGCTTGGGGTGCAAGCTGTCCTGGTACCGTGTATGAGATGTGTGTGCTTGGGGTGCAAGCTGTCCTGGTACCGTGTATGAGATGTGTGTGCTTGGGGTGCAAGCTGCCCTGGTACCGTGTATGAGATGTGTGTGCTTGGGGTGCAAGCTGTCCTGGTACCGTGTATGAGATGTGTGTGCTTGGGGTGCAAGCTGTCCTGGTACCGTGTATGAGATGTGTGTGCTTGGGGTGCAAGCTGTCCTGGTACCGTGTATGAGATGTGTGTGCTTGGGGTGCAAGCTGTCCTGGTACCGTGTATGAGATGTGTGTGCGTGGGGTGCAAGCTGTCCTGGTACCGTGTATGAGATGTGTGTGCGTGGGGTGCAAGCTGTCCTGGTACCGTGTATGAGATGTGTGTGCTTGGGGTGCAAGCTGTCCTGGTACCGTGTATGAGATGTGTGTGCTTGGGGTGCAAGCTGTCCTGGTACCGTGTATGAGATGTGTGTGCGTGGGGTGCAAGCTGCCCTGGTACCGTGTATGAGATGTGTGTGCTTGGGGTGCAGGCTGTCCCGGGGTCACGTGTAGGACACGCATGTGCATGGGGTGCAAGCTCACCCAGGGCTGCGGTGGGACACGCGGGTGAATGCTCTCCTGGGAGCACAGGGTCACAGGGTGTCAGCTCCCCTCAGCCTGCCCGGGGTGCAGGGTCTCTCCCTCGGGACCCCCGGCTGGGTGGGGGCTGTGGGAAGCTGGGTGCAGGCTCCCCCCTTCCCCAATCCTCACGCCCCGCTCTGCTCCCCACAGCCCCACTGCACGCGGAGGAAGGGACGCATCCGGAGGAGGGGCCACCTTGGTGGTTGTTTGCTGCCATCCTCCCCTGCGAGCCGCCTGCCTGACCTCTGCCTTCCTCCCCCGGCCTCCTCCTCCTCCCCAGCCACAGACCGGCATCCCCGGTGCTACCGCAACGCCCCGTGGGAGGCGGAGGTGAGGTGACCCCCAGTGCCCTGCCTGTGTTTTGGGGTGATGGCCCATTTCCGAAGCAGGAAGAACAAGCGGAAGGGGGGTCTCCCCTTGCCGGCGGCCTCGCAAGCAGCACATTTGGGGTTGCTCCTCCAGGAGAGCAGTCCCCAGCCATGGGCGGAAGATGCCGTCCCCACGCAGCCAGCAGGGGGGGACCCGGAGGAGGACGTTGCTGGGTTCTGCCTTCTCCCGCGCCTCCGTAAGGGCTGGCAGCTGGGCAAGGCCCTGCGGTTCCTGTGGAACGAGTCACGGTCGAAGGATGGGAGCAAGAAGCGAGGAGCCGAGGAGAGCCAAAGAGCACAGGATGCCCAGAGGTGCACCAAGCTGGAGGGGAGAGCACCGGGGCTGCCGGAGGAGCTGGGGACCAGCCAGAAAGCCCCCCAGGGTGGGGAAGTTCACAGCGCGGTCCCGTTACTCGGGGATGAGCCAGTTGGTGGATGGAAAGCAAGGGATGGGGATGTGCCAAGGCAAGGTGGTGGCCATGGGGGTGAGATGGGTCAGGCTCAGCATCTGGGCCAGGCAGGCACCAGTGGGGATGTGGAAGAAAGGACCGCTGGCTCATCCCAGAGCCTGGGCTTCAAGGTGGAGGGCAAGGATGCTGCCACCCTCCCTCAAGGTGACGGGCAGGACTTTAACCCTCTGTCAGCAGAGGGAAGTTCTGGAGATGACCGGAGGGGGAAAGTGTGGGAGAAGCTGCATCACCACGGAGAAGACATGGCGAGGTGGGAAGGGAGGTCCACGAGAGACCTGGCAGTCAGGCTGATGGAGGTGATCCTGCAGACAGAAACCAAGATGTACCCCATGGAGATGGGGAACAAGAGCAACGGGCAGGAGCAGGGAGCGGGGTGGACGAGAGCCAGTGTTGGCAGCTCTGCAGAGGTCTGTGCTTTGGTGGGCACTAAGGAGGACGCCTCCACAGCGCAGCAGCGCCCACAGGACCTTGCCGTGAACCACAGTGTCCCTGTCTCTGTCGCTGGGCCCATGGATGGAGACAACCAGCTGGAGCTGCTTGGGGACGAGCAGATCTGGGAGGACTCTGATGATGATCTCCTGGAGCAGGGAGGTCCACCAGCATTTCCCAGTCCTTCAGTGCAGATCCGCTGTCTCGTGCTGGTCGGGGCCAAGAGCGAAGAGCAGTGGAGAGAGGAATTCGCAGGCGTGTGGTCGCAGCACGAGATGGACTGTGGGCTGGTGTCTGGGGAGCAGGAGGTGAGCGGGGGACCGGCGCCCTTCCAAAAGCAGCCCCGACTGCCTGCAGACGAGGAGGAGGCGGTGGCGAGCATCCTGCAGAAGCTGCTGGCTGAGGGCGTGGTGGTGGAAGGCAGCTCTGCCTTCAACAGCCCTTTAAAGCTCACCCGAAAAGACAACGGGAGGATGCGGCTGACGCTGAGCTGCAAAGCTGTCAACAAGGCCACCCCCGAAGTGGTGGCTCCGGTATCCCAGGACACGACCAAGCTCGTTTCAACCCTCAGCCCCAGGAGCAGGTGTTTCTCAGTGGTGGATCTGTCGAACGCTTCCTTCGCCATCCCCTTATCCGAAGGTTCCAGAGCCAGGTTCGCCTTCACCTTCAGGGGCCAGCAGTACCTCTTCACCCGGCTGCCCCCGGGCTTCCACAACACCACCGCCATCCTGAACCAGCGGGTGACCCAGATGCTGTCCCAGCTTGGCCAAGGAGATCAACCTTGGGTTATTTCCCACATCGATGACATCCTCATTGCTGGGAGAAGCTACGAGGAAACCAGAGACCGAACGAGGACTGTGCTGGAGCTGATCCGAAAAACCGGCTTTAAAGCCAAGTTTGAGAAGGCGCAGCTCGTCCAGCGCAAGGTGCTCTACTGTGGGATGACCATCGGGGACAAGGGCCGAGAGATCCCTGCCAGCAAGCGGGAGGCCATCATCAAAACGCCCTGCCCGCAGGATGCTGACAAACTCCGCTCGCTCCTTGGGCAGTTTGGCTTCTTGCGGGATCACATCCCTGACTTCTGGGAGATGGCCTTGCCGCTCGACCGCCTCACCAAGAAGCAGGTCAAGTGGGAATGGGGGCCGGAGCAGGAGGAGGCGCTGAACCGCCTGAAAAGTGCTGTCCAGGCTGCGCCCCCCCTGCGATTCCCTGATAAGTCCCAGCCCTTCCTTATCAGGTTAACAACCGGCAAGGAGGCCATAGGAGCCACCCTGCTGCAGGAGGATGAATGCCGCCAGCTGGTCCCAGTGGGACACAGCTCCCGCATCCTGAAGGACTATGAGGTCTCCTGCCTGCCGCAGGAAAAGGGGTGCCTGGCAGCGGTCTGGGCTGTGCAGGCCTTCGAGACCCTCACGGGGCCGGCCCCCATCCTTATCCAGATGCCCCATTCCCCATGGAAGTATCTGCTACGGGGAGAAGTGCTGCGGTCCCGTGGAATGAACCCACACCCAGCGCAGTGGACTCTGCTGCTGGTGAACAACGGAGCAATGGCAAAGGACCACCCCACTGACGTCCTGGTGCCCATCGCTCCCTCCCTTCCGGAGCTGGCCTCCGACATCCCCAAGGCCAACGTGTGGTTCACAGCCAGCAAGAGGAATTGCTCCATCGGCTTTGCTGCAGTCAACCTAGAAGAGCGGTGGCTGCTCGGGGTGAGCAAGGGTGGCTCGGTGCCAGGTGCAGAGCTGGTGGCTCTCAAGCAGCTCCTGCAGCATCACCAGCACTCCTCACCCCTCTATGTGTACATGAGCTGCTGGTCCTTGGTGGACAGGCTGGGAAACCGGAGGGGTGAGCAGCAGTGGGGAATGTCCGGCAAGGGTTTGTGGGCAAGCATCCTACGGTGGGTCCACAGCAACCCAGGGATGCTGCACGTCAGTTGTGTGGAAGACGACTGGGACGAGGAGCCAGAGGAGAAGGAGTGGAACCTGAAAGCGGCCAAGAGGGCTTGGGCGATGTCTGGCAGGGCTGGGGGCTCCTGGCAGGGCTGGGAGCCTTCAAAGCATGAGAAGCAAGAGATAATCGCACAGTGTCACAGCTGCCGGCACGATGGGGTGGGGGAGACGCTGGCACGAGTGCGGCAGGTTGCATCCTGG